AAAATATCTGTTCAGAAGACGATTTGAGACCTAGAATTTTCGGAACATTTGTTGTAAAACTCCTTGCTTCCCTGCCTCTCCTAGGGTTTTCTAACATCTAAAAAATGGTATAATCGCCAATTTTTAACTGATTTTTACCCTAAAAAGGTCATCTAGAATTTTCGGGAGCCTTTTTTCTGGCTGAAATTTTCGTAAAGGTAAGTTTCGATCCCTATAATTTTTGGATCACTAGACTTTGAGCTAGGAAATCTGAACAGATGAAAAATTTTTTGGGGATAAAAATATGCCTATATCTACCGTTTAAATACTAAAATACGTTTAACAATGCTATGTTTAAGTGGTTTTGAACTATATTCTCATTGGGTGCCCCTGTTTAGTCATGATATACCTGTAATTTGCATGATTTTAAGAATATCGCAACTATGTGTAACCTAACAACTTAGTTGTAATCTTTTCTTAACATGACAGTAAATAGTAAACAAGGAAAAATATCAAGCCAACTGTCATCAACCAACTAGTATGCTGCAACTGTTAAACTGTAATGAGACTTCTCAACTGGAAATGGTCAAAGAAAGTTTCATTTGACATATCATTATAACCTTCACAGTTCTACGTAGTTAATTTTATGATTGCAGTATTGTGATGCCTCAGTTTATTAAAACCTACCATCCATAACATTTATGGTCAGTATTATGCTCATAATTCTAAGCAAAATTAATATACACGTAATGTTCATTTGCTGACAGGTATTTCACAAAACAGAAATTATATACAATGTTTGTGACACACATATGCTAACTATATATCACAGCTTATTCTCTAACACTACCACTGGTAACAAAATGAGTACTGGTATATGAAGATCATTATGAAATGTGGAGTCCAAATTCTGAGCTACATGTAACACATCTTTGTATTTGCCCAACAATTGGAGAGCCCAAAAGTACTACTATAATATCATCAGTAGTTGCCATAGAGATGGTGTGTGTTAATCAGTAATACCCATTTTTCAGCTTCTCGCTCTTATAACTTGAAACTTTGTCCAATGCCCCAAATTTTGTATGGTGTTATTTCACTAAGCAGGAAAACAAGTATGTTAACAAAATTTGACAAAATATTGAAAAACAGGTTCTACGAGAAGATTTTCTAGAATTACCAAATGGCATAGATTTCAATAAGGAAAATGAACTGTTTTCTCAAAACAGCCCTTTATTTTCGATGGTGAAAAGCAATGGTATCAAACAATCAGTGGCTTACTCGCTATTCCTCTATACATAAAACTATACCACAGCAACAGTATAACTTGTCAAAAACACTATGATTTTGCCACGTTGCGAAGGAGTGTTAGGACCTCTTCCCTGCTGTCAGTCAACCCATTTTCAGACTTTCGTAGCCATCTTTCCCAGTACTGTTCCCAATGAAAGTCACAAATATATGTAGTGGTATCTGTTAAACCAAATTAGAATGTGAATCTTTTTGTACATTCTATTTTTAATATTATAATAGTGTGTTGTCATTTGAGAGAAGATAAAGCACTATGATGGATATACTGATACCTCGTATGGCATCAACCTAAGCTTGACTTTAAGGTTTCGCCCTCAAGGAAGTATCCAGATTTGTAACTGAATACCTAAAGTCATATTTAATTTGGCCTGGTTTTCCATTCACTCGGGAGGATCAAGGTTAACTCACAATTTTATAGAAATTGTTACTTATTCCTTCAAAATCTTGTTTGCCTACATGTACTTGAATACTTGAATGGCAAGCTGTAAACATGATTTTCTTTGCACCCTGCTTGAATGTACAAGTCTTTATTTACATTTAGTTTCACACTTTGAGAATATTGGCCCAATGTTGAATCATCCGTACCTGTGAATGTGTTCTCAATTGCATGGATCTCTTCATGACAAAAGTCAGTCATGAAAAATTGAGGCTTCCAGCTGGCATTCCAATCATGGAAGATTCCTAGTGCTTCCTGTATGGAGGCTGTAGTTTCCCATTGAATTATGAAAGACCCCACAACTATGTAATTTACATTTGTCTTTACCACTAGGAAAAATAGAGGGAGCTCATATCTCATTGTCTTGTAGGTTGCATCAAGCAGGGTGATCTAATTTCCGTAACAGATCATGAGTTGCTTTTGCCAGGCTGTTTGATGAGCAAACAAAAGATCATCTCGCACACAATTTTGATCTGTTTCCTCATTGTTCATGCTTTCAGAAGCTGTTGATGAGGCTGATAGGGCACAGGGTCTAAAATAGAAAGAGTCTTGTGGGTTCTCCTGACACCAATTTTCAATTTTCTTTTCCAGGTTTTCCTAATCAGATTTGGACAGGATTTTTTTCACTGATGCCTGATACATGTGGTTCCTGATGTCCACATCTGTTGGATAATAGCGCCTGTTTGTTGATGCTGGTGGAGATTGCCCTGGAAATAGTTCAGTTTTTACGAATTGCCTAAGATGTCTTTTCATTTCGTCCAGAGTTTTCACACCTTCGCCAACAAGCTCTCCAATCTTGTCTACAAGCCATTTGTCAATGGGCTGCAGAATGCCACCAATCTGGTTGTTTGATACATGAGGAGAAAAATGAAAATGGAATTACATTTTTGACAGAAATATTTTGACAGTCATGCTGATAGTTGTAGGCACTGCTGGTACGATGTACACTTACATGAAATGAATGAAATGTCACTTCTGTCAACAACAACATTCAAAAAACAAATTATTTGGATAGAATAGCAACAAATCAGTTGAAATAATAATTCCTAGACAATTTTGTTCATTTTTTATCAGCTTCTATTTTAGTCCTAGACACTACTTGGACCTTTTGTCATGATCATTACTTCATTTACAGACCTAGGCTATGATTGTTAACACTACTTAGCATGTAGCCACCCATACACCTGTTGTACTTTGTGACCTAGCCTTTGAGTGGAAGGTCTGACTTGACTTTCTTTCACATGCCTTCTTGCCTTTTCATAGGAAAGTAATACCTGTCCGAAACTATAATTACCATAATGATTTATACATCAAAAACTAGAAGGTTTATATGAAAATGACTCAACTCTTGTCCCACCCATTCAAAGTGTTTTTCCCTAAGCCTTCAACTATTACTCAAACAAAAAGAGCCAAAAACAAAAGTTAATATTATTGTCCTCAAGTTAAGGTAGTGTCCCAGTTCTTTCCATTGACATCAACAGACCTCTCCAGTGATGTGATCTTTGTGTTCATCCCCCTTTGGTAATTGGATATAAATTCTGCGTTCCACTTGGGGTTTCTGTCCGCTGGTTATATCAGTCTTCAGCTTTTTGGACATGTCCCGTCTTAGTCTTTCTGTGTCATCCCTGATCTAATAGAGTTAAAAGACAGTAATAAGTTATGAAATGAAGGGATGTATTTTACTGAGCGGAAGTATAATGTCAATTGCTATTATCAGTATTGTGATGGTGGTTTGTACCTTGTACTTGCAATACTTTATGACTTCTGATAAACGAATACTTGCAGGGCAGCCAAACTTCATTGTGTCTTGAGGTAGAAACCTCCTCCTTTTGAATGAGTGATCATCAACCAGTAGTTAGAAGATTAATGTTATAGATTCCTTATAGTTTAGTGCTAAAAGCACCAAAAAGGCTGTGGCTGTGAAATGAAAATGCAGATATTTTTTAGTCATAACCAACATAACTTCTCTTCAGAATGTCTCGCTTTAAATGACTTTTTCCTGTCTGGTCCATGTTGGCAGTCAAATACCTTGGTGCCAATTATACTGAATGGTACTCCATCAAATGGAATTTTGTCATCTTTGAAATAGACTTTTCTTTGCTTGGCAAAGGGATCTGTGTCATAGAAACAAGGAAAGTCTGTATTATGTTTATTAGGGCTGTACTCTAGCAGTCCTCAGAGGCCCCCGGTGACTTACTGTTGCTTTTCGGCAAGAAGGCAATCTTAGTTTTTGCCCGAAATTACTATGCTGGGCAGCCAGAATGTCAAAGGGTTAGTGTTTTGGGCTCCCCGAATTTTTTTTCTTAGAGCATAGCCTTGTTTATTATAATTTTGATTGTAATCTGGTATGCAACCTACACCACAGTCAAGCCAATGTATTACATGCACCCTTTGCAGATAGTACTCAGTCAACCACAGATTTAAAGATACCGTACAATTCCGAAAATAAGCCCCTCCATGTATAAGCCCCTCCAAATATAAGCCCCCCCCCAGGGGCTTTTACTTGGAAAATTGCCCTCTAATACAAAATAAAACAAAGCAAAAACGGTTAATTTACTTCCAACTATAAGGCTAGCCCAATCGATTTTGAAATGCAAATTTCCCTCCCGTATATAAGCCCCTCCAAATTAATATAAGCCCCTCAAAAAGGGCCTTTGAAAAATATAAGCCCCGGGCCTTATTTTCGGAATTTTATGGGAATTTCATGTCTTTGATTCAGAAATTGTTAATGCCATGAATACCACTGTGTTTAGAATATGCACTATGCACATTCTACTCCAGCATATTTCTCTCCCCCCGCCCCAACAAAAGAAAAATTTCTAAGATCACAGCATTGTTTATTATAATCTTTTGATTGTAATCTGGTGTGCAAGCTACACCACATTCTACTCCAGCATTCTTAACCCTATTATGTTACACTGCACTGCTAAAATCATAGCTGCTGACCAACTTATTGTTTATGCACTTATCAACTGAAATCCCCCCTCCCCCACCCCCAGAACAGGGTGGGGATTTGACTTCATGTCAACTACAATGGTGATTAACCCCCATGAGGGGGCACTTAAACTTTTAAAGCCCCCACCTACAGTCCTGTAGGAGAAAAATAAAACATGGCAAATCTTGAGAAATCCCCAGCCCCCAACGGCAAAAAAAGCTGTCAAATTTTATCAAACACCCTTTGTTCCCCCACCTTGGCCCGGGGGTGGGGGGTCGGCTTTCAGTTGATAAGTGCATAATTATTTTGTTGCTTCATAATTATCTTACCTCCAGCACCAAACATTTTGTCTGATTAAAAACAAGAGAATTTTGTTGTTGTTTCCAGTTCATATTGTCTTATTACAGTCATGGCTTCCTCAACTGATCCAACATAGCCAACAAACTTGTTCGTTGATCCTCTTAACTTCGCTTGCCAAGTACATACAGTAGCACTGTCTTTCTCACTTTCTAAATATATGCCTTCAGCTGTGCCGCTACCTTCTTGGGCATTTGCCGGCAAAGCCATAACAAACGACTTGTGCTGATTACTATAAACCGAGCAGTCAACTTCCAGATCTCAAACACCCGGAAACTTTATTATTTTCCTTTCGAAAATGCCCGCCAAACAACAATGCTTAGCGGGAAAACCTTCGGAATTCCGAGACAGGTTTTCGGTATATTATCGTCAATTTTCGTGCGCGTTCGCCTGTTATTGAACGTCAGTTTCATGGATGGAAAGATACCCTATCTGTCACGCCATCCATCAAACTGACGTTCTCCACTGTGGCAAGCTTTAAGGGTATAAAATAGCTTTACCCTTGTCCAATTTACCCTAAGTTTTCAAAGGCTTATTGAAAAAAAATCAGGACCCTGCTTTATGTGCACAGAAAAACACAAATAATCTCCTGGACACACGTGGACCCGCAAAAGATCATCCGCCATATTAGTTTTTACGATAGGAAGCCGGCGCGTAAACCGAAGATGTTCGCCGGAGATCAGATGACGTCACGTCAGTTTTGCGGGTGTTATCCACAATGCATGTCGGTTGGTTGTGTTTTTTAATACCCGTGGGGGCCCGGAGGATCCCCCCCCCCCCTATGACCGGCTTCCTCAGTCCTACTATTGTGTCTATTGACTCTTGCATGAACCCTTATAAACACTCCTTTCAAAAGTCCTCGCAATGACGGAAAAGATGTTTATTCCATCAGAATCTTTTTTTCCCTCCTTCTTTACAATTTGATATGTATAAACTGGTTCGTCGGGCTATCATCCCCTTCTGGGAGTGCCAGCCCCATACCAGCTAGCCGCCTGCTGTTTCGCGGTTTTACTTTAGCTCGACAAAAAGCTAACTTTCCAAGTGAAACAAAAAAAAAAGAAATTATCGTGACTTAATATCTTCCCGCAAATTGTTTTCACTGTCTGACCGACAAAATGAAAAGTAAAAACAAAATATGGAAGAACACCTCTGAATCACAACTCAGTTGGACTAAATGGAAGGAAGCAGTTGTCCAAACGCCCTTCTCTCGATCTGGTATAAGATTAATCAGTATCTTGAAAACCCAGAATGCAAGGCAGTATGTTTATTTGTAGACTGCAAAACGTCGGCTTTTTTTTTCTCAAAATCAGTAAAGAAATCGGTAAAACGTGGAGTAAGAGTCTTACGCGCGCGAAGCGCGCGAGCCTAACACCCCTGTGGGGTGTGTGATGCGAGAGAAGAACCGACTGTCCGTTTTCCATAAAACGAGTTCGTTCCGACCAGGGGGTTCAAAAATGTCGTCGAGCTGTCAAAATTCTGTTCACAACTCCACCCTCTGTGTATTTGATACACTAGGTGATTGATTTCGAGGGAGTAGAGTAGCTCACTTTTCTTCGAATCTTGACACTGTATCCAGTTATTCTAAAGCAGTTTTTAGTGTTGCTTCTCAGTGAAATGTAGTGTATATAGTGAAATATAGTATATATAGTGGAGGATCAAAAATTAGTATTTTTAGCGTCTCTCCCCAGTCTTGTTCTCTGTTTTCAGCCTCGTTCCACACCTTTTGTTTGACTGCTCGCGCGTACTTGAATACGCAAAAATACGGACTGTTTTGCAGTCTACTCCCGTTCAATCCTTATGTCCAGTTTTCTGAAGGGCTGTCAGCAAAGCGGAGTGAAGAGTAACCACGTAACAAGATTGTTAGTCTCTGCAATTGTATCCCACCCCACGTGTAAAGGGAATCCGAATTCCGGAATCCAGGTAGTTTTTGGTCGTAGAATCAGCAATGTGATAAAGTCTCGCTTGTACAATCAGCAATCCTGGGCTTTGAAATTCAAAATACAGCTCAAGGAATCCGGAATCCCTCTAACGATTGGAATCCAAAATCCAAGTGCCACGTAAAAAGGCTGGAATCCAGTACCTGGAATCCCACGGCATGGAACGCCAGTGTAAGACAGTCTTACATGGAGTGATCTGTTAAAGCACTCTCGCTGGACGTGCCTTTTCTCGAGATATTTAGCCATATCAGCAAAAATTATAGTAGGCTATTAAAAGCCGAGACATCAGTCAGTTTTACCGAACAATTCTTGCAAGGACCATTAAGACAGACAGCAGCGAGGGAAAACCGGATCTTGTCGTAGATAAGGATCACTGGGCAGTATAATCAGTAACACTTGGCAAGATAAAGCAGTTTTCTCGCGAGTGAGATGCGTGTATTCTATAAATTAAACAAGCAAATATTAACCCTGAGATTGGACGATGTACATGTCTTGGCATGGCATGAAACAGTCCATCGAAGTACTGATATAAAACTGAAAAAAATACTCAAATATAAATTTAAACAGTAATTTTTACAGAAGCATGCGTAGCTAAACTTTCCAATAAAAAAGATAGAGATAAAGGATTTTGTCTTCTCTGTATGCACCCTTTAAATGTGAAGACCGTAGCGACAGCCCCGCATTCGGTTTTGTTTTGCTTTTAATGTCACTAGCTGACACCCAGAAAGTATTGAAGCAGACTTTGGGAGACTCAATCGTCTACTCAAGGGGTTCAAGGCCTGGGTCAAAGATGTGTTCTGAGAATATAAATAAATGGCAATATCTTTCGCTAGGAAACCTAGAACAAAATGAACTTTTTCCCAAAAGTAAATCTTGAGGTTTCAAACCTTTCTTGTGCCTTAACGTTTAATTATGGTCACGTGACCAAAAATTGAAAATGAAGGAAGTTGGCGAATTGGTGGCCAATTTACTTTGTTTCGATAAACAAATTGGTATTTCTGAAAGGTGATAACAGGAGCCCATCAAATGGGCTCCTGATGATAAACATACCTAACTTTCTTCGTTTGGAATTAATGTACGCGAAGTTTAAAATTAAAGTTTTAAATAATTCAAGATTAAATTTGGGTATCTAAAATGATGTTTTCCCTCATAATTTTATATTGAAGTGCAATGGACAGTCATTCCAAACGTAAAGTGTTAGAAATATTTAATATGAATTACAAAAATGTTTTTTTCCCGATTTCTTTTCTTAAACCGACAACCAATTTGTCAATAATTTACGATTTTTAGCAAAGTGGTCACGTGACATATCACGTGACTTATTAACACAATGTCTATACTTTAAAATGTTAAGGACGATGAGTTCTTTATGTGTGCGAAATTTTGATTCAGCGCCATCATCTATGCCAAAGTTATAGCAAATAATTCATTTTCCACAAGTAAACGCCTTAGTCCCAGGCCTTAATGTACTTGAGTATATCTTCAGCTTGGAAAGCGCGTTCCAACGTGTCTTTCGTGTTGTTTTTTTTTTGTTTGTTCCGTTAAACTGGCTTCGAAAGGGACAAGGTTTACATCGACTTAGGCTTGTTGCCTCCGTGCATTAATGTGCAAACAGTTGGTGGTGTAGAAGAATGAGTCATACCGACAAGAGATCTCAACCGGCTCCTTCCCTCAAGTATTTATGGCTTATTTTTTGCATCCTTGCCCATCGCCAATTTCACAAAAGCATAATACACTCTGTTTACCCCACCAGAATTTTCCATAACTTTTGTTTCCAATCTTTGCTGGGTATAACAGTCGTCCAAAAGGAAAGAGAAGACAATGGTTATGCAAAAGTTTGGGGGTAAACGAAGTACATCGTTGTCTCGCTGCATGAAAAAGGTCAATGCTTACCCAACGGGTCCTGTATGATGGACCCAGGGGAATTCCACATGATGGGGACATATGTATCGTCTAGGGAGCGAAATAACATTATTAGCGCATAACAGGAGGGCTCCTGCGCATAACTCTTCTTTGATCTTCTGTTATTATTCTATCACGATACAAAAGAATAAAATATTAAGCAAGTTAAAAAGATAATCACTAGGCTCATATATCTAATGAGCTCCCTCAATTAATTATTATAACGAAGATTTAGCAGAAGGAAAGTCAAATCAATGGCAGAACTAATAAACAGTACTGTAATGTCGAATAGCTAAAACCAACGTATTTGTATAGGTAATAGCATGATTTGTAGTGATATTTGGCATAAACACCACGAGTGATATTTCAAAATTGTTATACGTAATTTCACGAGCCGGTAGGCGAGTTAAATTTGATACATTCTGAAATATCCCGAGTGGTATTTATGCTAAATATCACGTACAAATTATCCTTTATTTGTTTTTACTACTACCCGCAAAAGGTTTGTAATTTTCACCTGTAAGTATTTCAAATTAAGCTGAAATACCACTGCTCTAAGCCAATCAAATTGCAGAAATTTATCAAGTAGTGGTATAAACAGCTGTCTTTGGAGAGCAGTGTTGACCCGCGCTAGGAGGGTGACAAGACTTGTCCAGTTTCATAAGAAAGAAATGTAAGAGTGGGCACGCCCTTAGGGGCGCGAGCTTGGGTAGGCAGGTAGTCACCATCTGTCCAGGATGAGAGATCGTGACGTTAGCGGACAACTTTTCTGTCCTATATAAATGGGGTCCTAATAGTGTACGGCCCTGTAAACCTGTATATGAAGTGCAATAAATATAAAGCTTCAACTTGCATCTTTTGAGGAAATAGAGATATTGTAGTGGATGGAGGTGGCAAGCTCTCATTTGATTCATGGTTTTTATAACCTTCCGGGAACTCTAAGGAGAAAGTTGGACTGGGAACTTCCTTTTTAGATTTGGGGTTAAACAACCAGCCCCATATCCCTGGTAACCCACACTGCTCTACATTAAGAAGTCTGCTGGGTGAGGGTACGCCTACGATTAAAATACATCTGTTCGTCAGCATTTAGCTTCCAAGATAAATGTTACTTTTGTAGTGACTACTTTTTACGACGGATTTTATTTAAAA